GCCCTCGCACATTCTGGCCTCACGTTTGGTGTGTAGATAATTTCTGGTAACCACGTGGGGAGGAAGGATGTTGGAGGCCGCTGCCAGAGGGAGGGATGGTGGCTGAAGGGGTCCCGTTCCTTGTCCTGACTCTACCTTCATGGAAAAGCAGCACCCAACTTTGTAACCACCATCATGCTGGCGAGGGATGGATAGGATTTGCCATGGAGCTGACAAATCTCATTATCACACTTACCGTTGAGAGGTTTTACTCTATTACATATGTTTCACATTTCGAAGATCGCAAGGCCAGGGGGACCTCTATGATCTGACATACTACATAACACAGGCCAGAGAACCTCACCCAGTAATTCTTGGTGTCCTTTTCCCAGTTAGTATATTTGAATGTGAAACCCTCTCAATGGATCTTAATGGAACCCACTTCTGCTGTGTTCATGTTGCTGGGATAGCGTCTGACCAAAGAGATAATTAAAACGTTGTATTGTTGACTCCTAGGACACACCCACCCTGAGCGTTCTGCAACACAGTACTGAAGACTAGTCATTCGTCTTACGTACCTTAGCAACGCTACCTCCCTACATCTCCCTCTGAGCTACAGCTCCCTCCCTGCCCTCCACCAAGTCAACAAGACCTTTTCCACATGTAGCTATACTCTCCCAGAGGGCATCCCACCCCGCCACGCCTTGCCCTCTGAAAACCTGATGCTTCCTAGTCACATTACAGCTTCAGCAGTGCAACAGACCTTCCCCTTGCCGGTTCCTGGCCTGAAGGACACGTCAGGAATTGGCAACAGGAAAGGTGACAAAGATCTTTCAGGGAGGACAGGCTTCTCTGACATAGCTCCCCCAGTGGCTCCACAAGAAAAGCCTAGATATTAGCCGTTTCTTGCATGGCATAAGATGGGGAATTGGCTAGAGTTAATGAGTATAGCAGGTTACAGTAATCAGTTTTTATTTTTAACTTGTAAACACATAGAGGAGTTCCTATGTGTTATGCTCAAAAAATAAACTATAAAATTTAAGAAATTAATTCAACAGAAGCCACCATCCTCAGCCTGAGCCCTGAACTCATTCCGAGTTAGCACCTAGTGCTTTTATAAATTCCAGTAAATGTCTAATTGCATTTTTAGGGGACTAAATATCTTTGTAAATCTGGTCCTCTGTCTACATACAAAGTTGTACCAGTTTAACTAAAATCACTTTAAAATTAGATTAAGTTAAACCTGAGCAAAACCCCAGTGTGGACACTCAAACTGATTTCAAGCGGGCTTATCTCGATGCAACTTAAGCCGATTCCTTAATGAATTAAGCTAAATTGATTTAAGCCATTTTAAAACTGATTTAAGAGTTTTCTATCGGGGATTGAGCTGATTTAACTAAATCTGTTCAAAAACACAACCTTAGTTAAAGCAGAGACAAGTTAGAGGGCTTTCAAGACCTAAGAGTTGAATCCCAGTTGCATCACTGCATCTACAAGACACAAGCCGTACCCTGATACCAATAAAATCAATGGGAGTTTTATCACTGAATTCAGTGGGAGCAGGAAAAGGTTTTGTATTCTGATTCCTGGCCAAGTTTGCATGTTTTACTGGCCCCCCTACCCTGTCTACCAAGTTTTTTATGAGCAAGCGGGGAAGTACAATGGACAAAAATCTTGTGCAAGTATAAAATTCTTCAATTCTCTGCCTGTTCACAGGTCTGAAGCAGACAGTCAGGTTGGATGGACGCTGTAGATAGGAAGAATTGTAAAAAACAGTATGACCCACGCATTTTAGAGCCTGATCCAAATCCAGTCCAATACCAAACATACCATTATCAATCTTTTTACTTTGCAGAGCATGTACTATAATCTTTGGAAAAAATTGCTCAAGGGTGCATCCAGGGCCAGCTCCAGGCACCAGCTTCTCAAGCAGGTGCTTGGGGCGGCCGCTCTGGAGAGGGGCGGCAGGTCCAGGTATTCGGCGGCAATTCGGCGGACGGTCCCTCACTCCGCCTGGGAGTGAAGGACCTCCCGCCGAATTGCCGCCGCAGATTGCAATCGCGGCTATTTTTAGATCGCGATCGCGGCTATTTATTTATTTATTTATTGGTTTTGGCTGCTTGGGGCGGCCAAAACCCTGGAGCCGGCCCTGGGTGCATCCCCTGTTACAGGGATGTGTTAAACAATATGTCTTCACTGTGGTGGCTGCAGCTAGTAATCACAACTAACCAGTGTGGGCCCTGATCCTGCAAAGGCCCACCCATGTGTTTAGCTTTACACACTGAGTTAGTCCCACTGACGTCAGCAGTGCATAAAGTTAAGCATGTGCACCAATCTTAGCAGGATCAGGGCCTTAGATGTTACTGTGGAATTAAGGACGCATTTGTTGGGGAAAAGACAGAATTTAAACACCATGCTTTTTTTCAGTAGTATTTTGTTAAGAAACTATCACTATAATTGAGTCTATAAACCAATGGCAAAGATTCCTGCTTTAAAATCCAATTCATTCTCCCTACTGAGTAAAAAGTTATATTGCTCCTGGTTTATAATGAGCTCAGGATAGAAAAGTATCATGTAGGCTGGACAATCCTCCTCTCACGATTTAGTGGAATTCAAATTCCACGTGAAATCATTCACCATTTGTAGTGAATCGCTCTCTGTTACGAAATCCAGCCCAGAGTCGGCCTAAAAAATTTACGATAGGTGCGGAATCTCTTTCACTTTTCAATTAACCCCACTCTGTTTTGAAATCATGTCTCACATTTTAGCAGCTCAATCATCTTAGCAGAATTATGTTTTTTTGGTACAAACACTTATTAATACAAATTTGTGGTTCAAACAAACATTTATTAGTCCAGTTATTCCTTTCCCACATGAGAAGTCCCCATTGAATTCAATACATTATTGACATGACTAAGGGTTGCAGGATCAAGCCTTACCTACACAGCAATCTCTTTACCCTTTGCTGAAATGCCGTAACCTCTCGGGTGGAACATGGAAGCTGTTTAACAGCATATAGGAGTACTACATAAGAGTTAAGACAGGAAGTATACAATATTTTAGTTAGCTAAAACTACTAGGAAACTAAGATAACATCACTGCCTTTGCAAAAAGTGTTGTGATATCTTTAATGAAAGCCTTGATTTTGCATCTTATCCTAGAGCAGTGGTACCCAAACTTGGTTCGCGGTAAGCCCCTGGTGAGCCGCGAGATGCTTTGTTTACCTGGAGCGTCCGCAGGTACAGCCGCTCAAAGTGTCTCGCGGCCTGCCAAGGGCTTACCCTGAACAAGCCGTGAACCAAGTTTGGGAACCGTTGTCCTAGAGAAGACCTCTGTCTCCCTAGGACACTAGTTCAGAACTGATTCACAAGGAAGAGGTCAACCTACAGAATCACCAGCACCACTTCAGGGGCAGCATTCAGATTTTCATTAGCGGTCTCCATTCCAAGTAATAACCAGGCCTGAGGTTGCTTAGTTTCTAAGAGCTGATGAAAACATTGCCCATGGCAGGACAGCTGCAAGTCATTCCTCTGTTAACTGCTGGCTACAGCAGACTGAAATTATTTTTACTACCCTGTAGAAAACAAAGGAATCTCAGAGATAACACACATCAGAGTAAAATTTTGCCCTGGGTTATACCAATGCACCCACTGAAGTTTGTGACTCAGCAAGTTGAAATTCCATAGATATCACTGACTGCAGAACCTGGCTTGCTAACATATGTGAAGGTGATAGCTATGTGATGAACTGAAGAACTATGTGATAAACGAATTTACCATGAGCCTTTGACTACCACATCTGACCTCTGCCCACCAATCCATCTCCCTAGGACTTAACCTACAGAACCAGATCTGAATTTAGCTGGGGTTTTATAGAAGGATCCCCATCAAATAATTTACACATGACAGGACTGCTGTGAGGAAGTGTCTAATGGACAGAAATGAGAGTCACTGGTTGCAAAATGAAAAACACTAACTTCTGCATTTTCTATCTTACGGTGCTTTGCTGGGTTTTACTGAATAATATTGGAAATTTTACATACAGCTAACATTTTGTTTGACAACAACAGTAAAGATCACAGCGTAACAGGTAATATCTAACTGTTCAATAACCTGGTGCCGAGAACCAGATTTCCCCATGCAAAGCATTTGATTTCTCTCCAGAATTGCTGGCATGAAAAGATTAATCAACAGAAATGTGTTGTTTTGAGAAATTTATGTTTTTATAATACTTATTTGGTTAGACTTATCATTTCATTGAGGGCAGAGGGAGGCACAAAGAAACACAAGGATACGTTGGAAAGAAAATGTTCACTAAAATGGGACAGGATCTCTTTGGCTTCATTTAAAGTATACGCACTATTACTTTAAGGTTTAAAGGTCTGTGTCTCTCTCTCCATTCTCTCCAGGTTGCTGTGATTTACAAGTTAGTGAAAAAACGTAATAAAGATTTATGATAGGACAAACTTCCCTCCGGCCATTACTGTTACACCTCTCCCCTGCTTCTGCATTTCAAATGTCAGCTCTCTTGATAGGAATAAGGAAGGGAGAGGAAAGCTCTGGCCACTACTGTAGGCTGCTTTTACTAAGATTTTATCTTTCTGATGTAGCAAATGAATCAAACAGTCTGCTTTTCTGTCTCAAAACTCCTTATATATAACTAGATAGCGGCATACTGTCCCATATAGATCTTGCACTACAGAACTATGTGACTGTCAAATGTAACCTACTTTGAGATCTATCTGTTTTAGAGAAAAAGTCTGTTGGTTCCTTTATGAAGTATCCCTGGATTAACATTATCCTACATCAAGTGCTTATGGGCTCTATTAAAGAAAGCTTTCCAAACACCCTTCCAATGTAGGGTGCTTAGCTACTGATTTATCTAGTAATACCTTCCTGTAACCTATGGTAACCATGATCAATATTTCACTTTCTCAGCTGCAATTCTTGGCTTAGAAACGTGTCCTTTAGAATGACACTGAATTCCCTACATGACAGTGTGAGCTTTCCATAGTTTCATACCTGGTATTGACTGTGCTGTTGCCTCAGCAGTGATGATAGGAGCAGTGTTAGGTTGTTGCTGACTAGAGCTGACTTCCGGCTCCGCGCTAATTGAAGGAGATAATGCTACTTCGCCAGCAGGAACCTGATTTGGCACGGGTTGGAGAAGGTCTTCTGAAGCAACTTGCTCTTCTTGTCCAGGGAGCTGCAGGGCGGATAAAGGAATGCTAATCTGTTTGCTGGTATTGGAAGTACTGACTGGCATCTGGAGTGCTACCTGTGGGTTGGCTGTAGGGGTGCTAGCTGGTCCTCTGTTTGGAGAAGCCAGAGTTACTCTTGCAGGCTTCTGAACTGCAGGCCTCGATATGACGGGGGGAGAAGCAGACACATTTTGTAAGTCTAGCTCAGCACTGAGAGAAGGCGCTACAGGAGGGGTGGGCTTAGAAGGGCCAATATAGGAAGGTCCAGCATGAGTTTGAGGCTTGGGCTTTGACATCTGCGTCAGCGATAATGCAGGCCCATCAATGCCACCAGTAAGTTCTGCATTAGCCACAATATAATAATCTTCAGGGATTTCTTGCTTAATCTTTTTGACGATCACATTGTTACTACTTTCATCGATGACCTGAGACTGGGAGCCTGAAAGAGATGATGAGGATTGGCCCGCTCCAGGCCTTTTGCGGGAAATGGTTTGAGATCTTTGGGTATGAGGTTCAAAGTCACTATCCTCATCTGTCACCGAGGACTCGCAGACCATGTCAAAGAGGGTAGCCTCATCTTCGTATTCTTCCACGGCTTCATCTAGCTCTGAAGGCTCACTGCAGTAAGAGAAATCACAGGAGTCCCTGGTTCTGTTACAATCCAACTTTGCTTTCACTGGTCTCCCAGGGTACCGCTCTACTGGGCTAGTCTGTGTCTCCGAGGGCACACCTATGATGCTGGGACTGTCCGAGTTGAAGCTTCTGTTGTCCTGGAAACATACTCTTTCCTGGGATCCAGCCCTGCAGGTAGCAGTCAGTGGCCAATGATACGCATGGCCTGCGCTACAGCCCCACATAGCTGTCAGGTTGCCATGGGAACCTTCAGAAAGCAAGTGCTTTAGATTTGGAATGAGGCTGCAGATGGTCCCATGGCTGTGGGCCCAACTGACCAGTTTGGAAAGGTTTTCAGAAGAGGTATGAAGGCAATCCTCCATGTTATAGGATCAACAACTCCTTTCCTAAAGAAAAGGAAATTAAAGGCAATTTTTAGGTTACATGTTTTCAACAGTTGTAACTGTGTACTGTTAAATAAGAACATAACACATATTCTTTTTCTACAAATAAAGGAGCTGAGACCTACTTCCATATATTCCTTATACAAAAATGTTTACAAAGGCAAATAACCATATACAAGTTATAGGTAAATCATCTTTTTATCATGTAATAGGCTCTAAAAGACACTTGTCAACATAGCATTAATTTTTAAGCTCCTTCTCTCTTCTCACTCTATCTATAAAATGCTGTCTTTAAAATAATAGGGCAAAAGAAATATCTCTATGCACCTCAAATCTACAGTGAGATAAAATAGCTTTTTAAACAGGCAAGTTCGCTACTATTGACAATCTAATTCGACATGTTGACACTCAAATCTAAAACAAGTGCATGTACAAATCTTTATATCTGATAGACTGAATAAAAAAGCCAAAAAAACCTCAAACTATAATTTTTAGCCTGAATCTGAAACTAGCATTATAGGCACTGAGTCCAATCTTCCACACACGTTGATCAGATTTAATGTAATTCTTGAACTATTTCAAATGCATCTTCCTTTTTAAAGGAGATGCAAAGAAACCCACTTGAGGGCCTAAGATTGATAATCTTTCCTTGTATTAAAGACAAAGTAACTGTGTGATTGGTTCTTTGTTAGCCTCCGCCTGACTACTGGTAGCCGCTAAGTGTCCAATGGCGAATAGAAATTCCAGTTTTCTACTAACTTCAAGCTAGTCTAGAAGAGTGAATATTGAGAATATTGAGAATTAAAACTTCTGTTGCTTTATCAAACCTTCCAAGTTCATAGAGCCAAAACTTGATTCCATTGGCATCAATAGCAAAACACAGTGTTTGTCCTCTTCTCAAAAATGTCTATCTAGAAACCCAGAAACAAGAGGCATTGAAATCTGGGGCCAAGTTAATAAATACTGGGAAAATATCATTTCTGGCACTCCACACAGAGGACAAGAAATTGTTGAATTTTCAGTCTTTTACTTGCCCCAAACTGCATGTCCTGCTCATGTTCCATCTTTCAAATAAAGTTAGCCTACAGACAAAGTCTCATCCCACTAGTGAGAACCTGCAACTCCAATTGATTTCAGTAGAAATTGAGGCTGCTAAGTACCTTTCAGGATCAAGCCCAAAGACTGCTGAGGCGTGAAGCAGAGTTTACATCTGGCCAAGCAAGCATTAAACTGTCTAATAGATTTTATAATGGTTTCTCAGCCCCTTGCATCACGTGCAGCCATAAAAGAGACAATCTGAGATGGGAGAAATGCTTCATTCAATTAAGCAAACAGAAAGATTCAATAAAGGAATGGGAAAATTCAGAGCCATACAATGATGGCATAGATATGTTAAAGAAAAGCAAGGAAATGGAACATAACTGAGATAGAAACATAGAAATTGTTCACAAGTAATTTCTCCATATAGTTTTTGGACTGTAGATATTTTTCTAAGCAGTTTGTTGCAAGTATTTTGATACTGAAGCTCCGAGAGTTAGTTTTTCATTGTACAATTAGATATGGTATTGGTATATTTCTGTTCTCTGACTGGATTAATATAATATTTAGAATTAAGATTTCAATGTGAATGCTCATTTTTACTAATTCAAAATATGCATTTCCAGCTAGCATCCAATGTTTGCATAAAGTTTACTATTCCGGCAGACACCTTTGCATTTTTGCCAGTAAACTTGTTCACCAGAATGTTTACAATTAGCAAAAACTATGAAAGCAAATTCACTTAAAAATTCAAATGAAAATTCATTTGTTGTGGTAGTTGCAGTACTTGTGAGCACTATTTTGGACTGTATAATCTATAGTCAATGTTCATTATCTTGTTATCCAAACCTTTTCACTTTTAATTAAGCAACAAAAATCTTCTTTGGCCAGAGTTGGAAATGAGGTCCAGTTAGTCAAACGTTCAATCCAATTCTAGATTAATGACAAAACAAAAAACAACCAACTCTCACTTCAAGATAGAATCTGTAGATGAACCTAGATAGAGTCAAATGATCTACTCTACCTACCGTAATATCTGAGCACCTCTAGCCTCGTAATATATCTATGAGGTGGGAAAGTACTATTATTCCCATCTCAGGTTCAGCGAGACTGTGGGTGAAATCCTCATCTTCGTGAAAGTCATTGGCAAAATTCCCTTTGACCTAAATTATGGTCAGGATTTCACCTTATGTGACTTGCCTACATTCACACCAGAAATCTATAGCAGAGCCAGGAATTGAACGCAGTACTCTGCTGCCCCAGTCTACTGTTTTAACCAGTTGGAAAATACTGAATACATCAGCTCTTTTAGCACTGCAGTTTTTCGACTCCGAACAGCAAGAGTTATAGGAACCAAGGAGCCTTTTTCCCATTGCCCTGCTTTCATTATTAGAGTGACACGATGGGTGAGGTGATATCTTTTATTGGACCAATCTCACCCACCTTCTCTCGCTAATATCCTGGAACTGACATGGCTACCACAACGCTGCTTTAATAATGGCAGTTCTATGGCAAATCTAGCCAAACTACAGGGATCCTTAGAACATTCTCTGAAGCAAAAACTCTGAAAAGAAGTACTGTATGTAAGTTTGAAAACACTTTCCAAAAAATTTAAATCCTTAAAAAGCTAACTTGACAGTATCCCTTTTTCCAGTGCAGTTTTACTTTTAAACTAAAGGCTATTTCAATTGCAAGAAAGGTTTACCAAGAAGGAATGCACATAACTTGAAATTTGATCTTTATTTGGCACAAAATTGAATTTAAATGACCGGAGTTCTTCTTCTAAAATAACAGAGATTAAGTTTATGTTTATGTTCTCTCTAACTTGCCATCGGCTACCTCCCCACTGGTTACTTAATCAGAATATACCCATGAAATTATAACGCTATAGAAGAAGAGATACATGAGTTCTGATTCGCTTCTCACTTACACCTGGTGTAACTCCACTGACTTCCTGAGCCAGTTAAATAGAATCAGGACTCTCTAATGGGCTCACTCTTTACAGACTGGCAGGGAGGCATGCCCTTACTTTTTCCTCCTATTGGCCCGACTTCTGAGAGATGCTGAGCACTTGCAGCTCCTGCTGACTTTAGTTGAGGTCATGGGTGTTTTGCATGTTTGAAAATCAGGTCTTATAAAGTTTCCTAAAACCAATTTAATGTGGAGCTCACTCGCCCCTTATGTCCCACACCTCTACCCATCCCCACACAAATATTTTAGAGGCAAAAATAATAATAATATTGCTCGAAGATAAGTATCTTGTTACTGATCTTCTCTTGATAATGCATCAAACTGACATTTAACCTAGTAACACCAACAGGTGACTACTTGGCCACTCTGTGTGTGTCTCAAAGCTAAAAAATTAGCTAAAAAATGATGTAAATGTCAAGTATCATTAGGAAAAGGCTGGCTCCAATTTAACAGCTCCAACCATACCATAGAGCAGGGGTCTCAAACTCAAATGACCGCGAGGGCCACATGAGGACTAGTGCATTGGCCCGAGGGCCACATCACTGACACCCCCCCTCGCTGCCCCCGGCCCCGCCCCCACTGCACCCCTTCCATGAGGCCCCGCCCTTGCCCCGTCTCTTCTCCACCTCCTCCCCTGAGCGCACAGCTCCCTGCTCCTCCCCCCTCCCTCCTGGAAAGTGCTAAGCACCACCAACAGTAATGCACCTCACTCAAAGGACAAAACATGCACTTAGTTAGATTTACTTCTGTTAAAGCCCCCCCACTGCCCTGGGCTGCACCATCACTCCACCCCTGCTCTGCCTCTTCCAGGGGTGGCAGGTTTGTAGAAATTTTGGTGGTGCCCAGAACCTGCCCTCCCCCAAACTCCACCCCCACCTGCCTAAGGCTCTGGGAGGGAGTTTGGGTGGGGGAGGGGGTCTGTGGGTGCAGGCTCTGGGATGGAGTTTGGGTGCTGGGTGCAGGCTCCGGGCTGGGGCAGGGGGTGGGGGTGCAGGCTCTGGGATGGAGTTTTGGGATAGGAGGGCGTGCAGGGCTGAGGGCTGTGGGGCTGGGGATGAGGGGTTTGGGGCATTGGAGAGGCTCGGGGCGTTGGAGAGGCTCAGAACTAAGGCAGAAGGGAAGAGGAAGGGCAGCCTGCCCTGGCCCTAGTGGTGGGGGGCACTAGGAGCCTGCGGCAGCAGGTGATGCCGGAAGCCGGCAGAGCGGAGCGGAGTCAGCATGAGCTGCAGGCTCCGGGGCAGTGAAGGGGCAGCAAGTGAACCTGGGGGACACTCGGGGGAGATGCATGGGGGTGGCAGGCGGGGCCGGGGGAGAGACCCGGCCCCAAACATTGGGGAGCAGCAAGCAGGGAGCTTAGCTGCCACATAAAATAACGGGGGGGGGGGGCGGCGTGGGGAGCTTGGTGGGCCGCAGGGAAGAGCTCCACGGGCCGTGAGTTTGAGACCCCTGCCATAGAGAATACCATTTTTATAATACTGCATCTTTTATTCCCAACAAGCTTTGCAAACTGTGGCCCTGATGCCACAATGAGCTTTGTGCATATAAAGAACATAAGACAGCCATACAGGGTCAGATCAAAGGTCCTTCTAGCCCAGTAGCCTGTCTTCCGACAGTGGCCACTGCCAGGTGCTTCAGAGGGAATGAACAGAACAGGGAATCATCAAGTGATCCATCCCTAGTCGCCCATTCTCAGATTCTGGCAAACAGAGGCTAGGGACATCATCCCTGCCCTTCCTGTCTAATAGCCTTTGATGGACCTGTCCTCCATGAACGTATCTAATTCTTTTTTGAACCCTGTTCTAGTCTTAGTCTTCACAACATCCTCTGGCAAGGAGTTCCACAGGTTGACTGTGCGTTGTGTAGAGAAATGCTTCCTTTTGTTTTAAACCTGCTTCCCAGTGCCCCCCCAGAGGTCATTGCAGGGTTGGGACCTACATGCAGAATAATAAATACAATTAAGGGCCTGATCATGAAAAACCTGCCAGGCATATTCA